ACATCAGTGTCAGCCTTGGCAGGATAAATCTCCCCAGATCTATCCAATAGCTATGAAGATTCTAAACTAACACGAGTCTCATATGTGTCCTGTTTAAGGGTATTACACAGAAACACACCATAATAACATGAATCAAATATGTACTTTATTCATTTACATTAAATGTCATAAAGTACATCATTCTGATTGGAGCTAAGGGCATACATTGTCTAACAAAATCTACTCCAGTCAAAATCCAATGTTGACTGACACTAGACATGTATTTAGACTGATTTGCTTGGCAAACAACTATAGCAGGTTGTAATGCAATGTTAGAGTTAGATAATTATGTTTCTGAAAAATGGATTTTTGCTATAGAAACCTAGCCACATGTAAGTATTTTCAGATGATCTTATTATAGTGGCATATGAAGCAAATTACTGATCATATAGAAAGTCAAAATGTTGCCTATCTGATGCTTTTTTTGGAAAGAATCAAGCATATGGAAATTCATTATCATATCATTTCAAATGAATAAGTAATGGGCTACAGGGTGCAAGATCAAGACTAGTGCTCTAAGAGTCCATTCCTCTCACTTTATTTTAGACCTCAGTTATCTAAATACTGGGGGATGGGCTATACCCTGTTGGGTAGCCCCATGAACCCAAAAACAAATAATCTCCAAATGTTGGGATCATTAGAAAGCTTATTCAGTTTTCTATCAGAATAGCCTAATATCACGTATAGACAAGATTTAATCAAGTAGTTACCAATTTAGGAACAAAATATGGGTCTGTAATGGATATATCTACTTTAGGCATATTATGGTCATTGTCTAATAACTTACACTAGATGAATGATTAAGATTCATAAGGTAGGGGTTAAGTTAGGCCTTAGAATTTTTATTTCCTACAAATAGATGATATAAAAGCACTTTAAGGGAGTTTTATCTATTTATGATAAAAAGAAAGTTTTTTCTCTTGGCTTTTAGTTTCTCTGGAAACTTTTGGAACTGCTTGGGTTAGCATCCTTTAGGATGTTTTCCTTTGTTTTCTATCTAAGAAACCCAAGTTTTAATGGTGCTTGAAGTAATTTTACATCATTTTCCTGCTTCTTAGAAAAGGGTGTCATTTTTCACTTGCATCATTTGCAGTCTTGAAGGACCATTAGAACCATGGGCTGGCAATCCTGAGAATGCAAGCGTTGTAATAGCAAATGTTGAAAGGTGTAAATAAATAAAGAAAGCAATAAATACAAATAAGGCAACCTGGAATAATAGCATATTTGTAATAGGTCACTGTAGGTATATGAAAAATTGAACAAAGCAAATAGCTGAAATAATATAAAAAATCATTCTATAAATAGGCATTCATATGGATGAACAAATCAAGAAAATAACTAGAAATTAACAGCAAGACATGTGCGTTTATAGGAGTTGATCTGAAAGCAAATGAACATCAATAGAAATACTGATGCAAAGATAAAAAAAAAAGGTGAAATAAAGCTGAGAAAGTTGCAGGTACATGCCATGCTGGAGTACGCTTCCCAGCCTTTGGGTCTTCTCCACAGTACTTCTCTGAATTGTCCTCATATTTGTATGTAGGTGGAAAATTTAAGGTACCTTCTATCCATCCACCAAATGTATGGCCTTCTCTTATTTCTCTTAGAAGCTATCATAATAACATAAAAGAACTTCAGCACAGCCAGCAATTGAAATTTAATTGTCATCAAACAAAAAAAAAGTATTTGATTGATAAGCTTAAATAAACATGGTGGAACTTCATCAAAAGAATGTTAAACTTCGTGTAAGAAGATACTCCTTGGTAGTCCTAGTGTTCACCGACTTTTAACTAAGGCCTAGAGGGATGTTTGGTACCATGCCAAAGTCCAATTCTGGTTGGTTACGAAACATGCCACGGCATATACACGTTCTTTTAATGGCATGTCTTGTTTTAGAATGAGCTGAGCTTGGTTCCAAAACCCAAAATCTCACAGCATTCCATCCATGGTATTTTATTGTGTTCCAGAATGAGCTACACCCTCCACCCGTAATTCTGCTTCTCAACTACACAAAACCCTTACTTCAATTTTACTGTTGCAAGTCTCTACCGACTCTATGTCTCTCTTTCTAATCCCCCAAAAAAAGTCTCTATGCACTTCTTTTCTCTTGAGCTTTGAGAGGAGAACCTTCATTGAAGAAACCATATCATCGTTTACTCTGTGCTGAAGGTATGCCACATGCTTTTTCCCTCTCATGCTCTCTCTCTGCACTACTTTTTGGATTCATCAAGAGTCCTTTCTCTTCCTTTTTGATTATACAGAATCCAATTTCTCTACTTTATTTTTGGTTGACTTTGCTCTTGTCTGTTCTATTTTGAGATTATAAGGACTGAATCTGTTCTGGGTTTCTCAAATTATTGTTTTTCTTTTGCAAAACATCAGCCAAGAACAAACAGGGTTAAAGAGACATATAACCAATTTCTTCCTGCTTTCTCTACTGGATATTCAAGATGGATTCTGTCTTTTTTTCTTGTTTATTTAAATGGATTCTATTCCAGCCTCTTGTTTCTCTCAACCATTTCATGGGTTGCTAAAAAAGTTATTGAAAAGTAATATAGAAATTAGAAAGCTCAATGACAACAGAATACCAGTCTTGTGGTAAAGTTCCAAGTTCAAGCTGTAAATGAATTTAAAATAATAATGTTTATCAATAATAGAAACTAATATTTCATTAACTTAAAAAATTTATAATACAGTCTTGAGTCTCTTGACTTATTGTCTTGGGCTTCTCTTCCAGTATGGTTCGGGTCCACCTTCTCTAGCAGTTTGGACTCTTAGCTTTTATGACTTTTAGTTGTTTATATTATCAATAATGGCAATTTAAATTTTTTTATCATATTGAAGTAATTGCTTAAAGTATTTTTCTAGAATATTTGTAAAATGTACCGACTGATCACAACACGTGGCAAGGCACATGGTCATGTGGTAATCATATAACACTCTAGTTGTCCACATAACAATTATTAAATAAAAGGTAATTTAAGGTAAAAATGGAGCCAAACAAACAAATATAAGAAAAGACCCTGGTTTGATGCTTGATTAATGGTTTTAGATGTAAATTTATGTTACACATTGTTGGGATTCTTTGCTGTAAATTAGCTATAATTTAGGCTACAAATCAGGTGTAATTAGCTATATAAAATTTTCCTTATTTAGAATAGATTAGGCAAGATTTTCTCTTTTAAAATAGGAAACAAGTCCTAACATTTAGGACTCCAATTGTATATAAAGACATGTTCCGCTGGAATAAACAAATAGGTCATTCAAACCTAATTATTCACACATAAATATTTTCATTTAAAAACACACCACAGTACAGAACACACCTTTTACAGTGGGGTGTTCAAGAACACACTGCCCCACAGCTTGCAGAACATATGGTGTGTTCCCGAACCATGGTTTTGGAACTTCTGGAACACACCACAGTAGGGTGGTGTGCTCTGATATGAACCACACATTTTCCAGCCACAGTAAAGAACAATCCCTATGTGTTTTACCATCTGGTTGATGTTTTATTTTTTGTGCTTTCCAAGAGTTGTCATAAAATATTTCCATTGTCCAAATGTTAACAGTATAAATACATGATTGCAATAATATTTCAAGTTTTTATCTTTTTTCACACTGATAATCACCATAACAGGAAACATTTAATTGTGGCCCCCATCTTCTGAATGAAGAACAGATTTCCAGTTAAGGGTGGGTCCCCAAATATAAGGGAGGAGCAGCGGTGCATCAACCATTGCAGTAAGCTTCGCAATTTTCTTTGAAATCAGTATTTTCTAGTTTCTTGGTTGTGTGGTTCTCTTTCAAAACAGGATTGTTTTGTCACGGTTGTCAAGGTGATGCCTAGGAGAAAGGCGCCTATGAAAGGGTTGCCTTGCTTAATCACCTACTAGCTATTTTGTACATGCTGTTATTATATATTTTTATATTAATTTTTTGAGATTATGATAATAAAAACAGACATTATTAAACTAAATTATTCAGTTTATGAGTTAAAATACAATTTTCTTTTTATTATTTTCTTATTTGCTTGGGTTCAATCAACACATATATTGGCATCTGCTGTCTTGAACCTTTGAATACTACAAAACCTAAACCAATAAGCAAGGAAGAACATCTCAGCCCCTCTATTTTCTGAATTTTCTTTTCTCATTTTCTTCTCATGAATATATTAATTTTCTATGTTTTAAAATGATGTTTAAACATTTTTTACAAAGATTATAGAAAATCACTAGTGAAAGATGGTTTCTGATTGCTATGGAACCTAGGGAATTACCCTAGGGTTCATAGGTTTTACTTTAATGAAAAATCCAATGCTTAGGCGATAAGGTGCCCCTCTACCACTTGTAAGAATCAAGGAGGGGCTGCAGCTTGCGCCTCTCCCTGGGATGTTGTATGAACTCACTCTAAATCTGCTTCTGAATTAATAAATTTATTATCATTCATCAAAAGGTGCCCCTCTACCATGGTTTTCTGTCCCAGTATCAGACCTGGTACTCA